GGGGAGGCTAGCTGAAGACAGCTTCTTGGTCTTAGAGGGTTTTTATAAAGTGGATCTAGAGGAATTTGAAGTTCGGTTCACTTACCACAGATGTTAAGAAACACTGAAAGTTAAGGGATAACTGGTCGTGGGATATCTATAACCCATGGTTTAGGAATGAGAAAGGTTGCATTCTTCCATTCCCCATCCCCAGACCATAAAATACCAGATTCCTCATCCTACCCCCCACCCCCACCCACACTGGTCAATCTGGGAGAGGAATGTATACTTTTTTAAAAATATATTTTTTTATTGGTTTCAGAGAGGAAGGGAGAGAGAGAGAGAGAGAGAGAGATGATGAGAATCATTGATCAGCTGCCTCCTGCACGCCTCCGACTGGGGATTGAACCTGCAACTCGGGCATGTGCTCTGACTGGGAATCAAACCCTGACCTCCTGGTTCATAGGTCAATGCTCAGTCACTGAGCCAAGCTGGCAGATCAGTGCTTGATTTTCTTTCAAAAAAAATTGTACCAATTTTCCCCCACTGCAGTGCAGGTTTTCAACATTGGATTTTTCCCCCCCGCCCTTGACAATCCCCTGGCCTCCCCTACCCAGGAATGTAACTTCTGTCTGATCTTTTGGCAAGACCGCTCTCTCCTTACCTCAGGTAAAAAGGTAAAAAAAACACACAGCCACCAAAAAAACCCTTGCATCTAGATCTTATGCAGGTGGAGTTTAGTAGTTCTTAGTCTTGATCTCTGAGACTAATGTGTGAACTTTTATCTTGTATAGTGAGGTTATGGCCTGGAGTTCTGTGATACATGAATAAATCATGGTGGGAGGTTCCACTTCTGATTATGGTAGTCTGGATATTTTATTTAATTTATTTACTTTTTAAAATATATTTTATTGATTTTTTTACAGAGAGGAAGGGAGAGAGAGAGGGCTAGTTAGAAACATCAATGAGAGAGAAACATCATCAGCTGCCTCCTGCACACCCCCTACTGGGGATGTGCCTGCAACCAAGGTACATGCCCTTGACCGGAATCGAACCTGGGACCCTTCAGTCCGCAGGCCAGCCCTCTATCCACTGAGCCAAACCAGTTAGGGCAGTCTGGATATTTTAGACCAACATTCTCACTAGAAAATTTTTTTATTGATTTTAGAGAGCGAGCGAGAGAGAAACATTAATTTGTTGTTCCACTTAGTTATGCTTTCATTGGTTGCAAGATTGAACTTGCAGCCTTGGTGTATCAGGAGGATGCTCTAACCAACTGAGTTACCTGGCCAGGGCCTCACTAGAAATTTTTACAGTTGGATGCAATATATGTTTAAAAAATCTAAAAAGCATCAAAGGGCCAATAAGATTGGCTGGGAATCGAGAGAAGAAAAATGGCCTAAAGACTACCTTTATCCTGGGAGTTTTTGCCACTTGGAAAAAAGTTCCTGAGAGGATTTGAGGGCCTTGAAGGATAGGGAGACAAAAAGTTAGAATCTGGGGAGAGCTAAAGATAGGGATGCTGGTAAAGATCCAGCATTTGACCTAGGACCCTCTAGAGGTGGATCAGAAGTAGGCCATTCCTCATACTCAGCAGCCTAGCCTCCCACCATTCTGGGTGGTCCAGAAATTCTTAAGCCTCAAATTTAGGAATAAGATGATCCCAGATTGCTATCATATCCAGATGCTTGGTAGGATCAAGCAGAAATCTCGAGGAATGTAACATCAACCTAGACCTCAAAACTATTACAATAAATAATTTTTAAAATATAACATCAACCACAATAAAAATTAAGCAGTTGAAGAGATAAGGCAATGTAAATGAGACCAAATAGAAATGACAGACAATAAACAGACCCACGGCAATTCCACATATTGAAATTATACAAGTGAAAACAAGAAGATAAAAGCCAAGCTTAGAAATTTCAGCAGAGACATGAAACTATAAAAATGGACATAGCATGCCCTAGCCGGTTTGGCTCAGTGGATAGAGCCATCCTGCAGACTAAAGGGTCACGGGTTCAATTTCAGTCAAGGGCATGCACCTTGGCTGGATCCCCACCTGGTGGGGGTGCATGCAGGAGGCAACCAATTAACCAATGGATGTGTCTCTCCCATCTGTGTTTCTGTCTCTTACCCCCTTCCACTCTCTAAAAATTAGTGGGAAAATGTCCTCGGGTAAGGATTAACAAAATAAACATTGACTCTAAAACAAAAATGACAATGTCTCATGGCGTTTAAAATCTATAGAAAGAAAATTTAAGTATATGACAACAGCACAGGAGTCAGACTGGTACATGGAGTTAGCACCTCAAAGGAATTCTAAATAAAGCTCAGGGCTTGGTTACTTACTGGATGTAGGGGGTGACTAAGTGTCCTGCCTAGAACTAGAATTCTAGTAACCCTGAGAAGAATAGCTTTTCTCTAATTCCTGGTTCGACAGTACACTCGCCATTCTAAATATATGATCAAAATCTCTAGGTATGCCAATTCCGCAAAGCAGCTGATCAGGTGTTGGCCACATACGGTAAAGGCAAACCAGCTTGAAAAACCATTGAAAGGGCAGAATAATAAAAGCAAGGGGAACGCATAGACAAGCCTTTCTGAAGTGCCTCGTGTCTCCGAGGTCCGAGAGCACTACAAAGGGAAAGGTGGGGCTTGTCCAAGAACTACAACTCCCAGAAGGCATCGGGCGGAGCACCGGGGTTTCCTGTCAAAGCTTATTTCCGGTGTTTCGGATGCTGACGCTCTTTTCCGGTACTGGTTCCTCCCCACCCCCAAAGGTTTCTTTGGGGTGCACGGTGAGTCCCGAGCAGGAGGGGGGAGTCTCATGTCCGCGCCTCACTTAGCGGCTGAGGATCAGCTGGGGGAGGGGCAGGAGAGAGGGCGCGCCGCGGAACGGCGTTCAATCTTGCGGAGAGGCGGGAAGGGGGCAGAGCAGACTGAGCCCATGAGGGAACCACAAAAGGATGTCGGGGCGAGGAGAATGGGATCCCGGGGGAAGGATGGAGGGTGGGATGCAGGGTGTGTGGGAGGACCCCGCGAGCGCGCGGTGGGCTCTCAGTGGAGCTGGGCGATGGAGGAGAGGGCCATGTTCTGGAAGGCAGCAGCCGTGGGGGCTCCTGTGTCAGGGAAAGCTGGGGGGTGCTGCAGGGCTGAGATCGGCCGAAATCGGGCACCCCAAGAAAAGCCCTCTTGCAGCCACATGGTGTCATCTCAGTAGACCCTATCAGCTGGGGAGCACCTCGGTCCCCGGCAGAAAGAGGGTGGTGGGTATGCTGGTGCTGAGGCCGATGATCCGAGGGCTTGCAGGGCCGCGATGGCAGGAGAGGCGCGAACAGGTCCGTTCCAGCGGCTCCCAGGCTACTCTGTGGAAGGGCTGCTGCTTCCGGAACATCAAAGAGCTTCCCTAGGCTTTTCACGAAGGACTGTCCGGAAGCTGTTGGTGATTTTACGTGCTTGCATGGACTGCTCACTTTGCTTCTTTCCCACAGATGAGGCTGCTGGCATTGGTAGTGTTGGCTCTACTTGCTGTCACACAAGCAGAGGAAGGAGCCAGGCTTTTGGCATCCAAATCACTGCTGAACAGATATGCGGTGGAGGGCAGAGACCTGACCTTACAGTACAACATCTACAACGTGGGCTCCAGGTAAGGAGGCCCTGGAGCCGCAGGGTAGGCCCCTCCCAGGCTTCTTGGGTTTCCCAGCTGGGACAGCACCAGCAGCGATTTCCCTTTGGGAGACCTCCAGCAACAGATATCATGAGCGAATGAATACACTGCTGGACCTAATGTAGGAGGAGGAGGACATTCTTACCGAGGCTATAAGAAACCATCTCCCACTTTTTTTTGAATTGGGAGAGTTTTAGAGTGGGGGGAGAAGCAGGAATTGTGAAACAGGGAGAGGAAAATGAGAAGGCATAAAATGTCTGATTCCGCATGATCTCACTCACTCATGGATAATAAAGACCATTATAAACTTATGAACAAAAATAGATACAGAGGCAGAGCTGCC